AAACACATTATGACGCTTATTCTTCGCATTGACACGTCTAAACTTGTGATTCTTGATTCTCGACCTCGACGCTTCGCTACGCATTACGCATTTTAGAACACTGTAAAAAAGTATTAAGAAAGCAATCATACGAAATTCACAAGTTTTGGAGTGAAATTCAAAGTTTGAAAAATTTGGGGGCTAGAATGGAAATAAATTATGGATAGTTGAGCGAATTTCTGCCTAATATAGTGTAAAAATGACAATTGAGTGGTTTGCAATAGTAAATTAATTAAATTAGTGAATTCGACTTAATACAAACTTTAGAATTGAACATGAAAGCAAAATTAAATGTGATAACTTTGATAAAATCACGAATTCTAACAGTTTTATTCACCATGTTAAAGTTGTTAGTCGAGGTTGTTCAACAAGCGAAATATATTAATTAATATAATTTTAGTCCTTAGTTTAATTAGATACAATTCTTTTTTGTCAAGTTGTTAGTTCAAATAAAGTTATGATTGTTAATTTTGGTACTTAATATGACGAATCTCTTGGAAATAATACTTTATCTATCATTATATTACTCGTCGCGATTCGTAACTTGCAAATTCAACTAACACTAGTTAAGTTAGTACGTTCAATGGTACATTCAAACTCGCCAATGAACTCTGATTTCAATGAATTCGTGTGTACTCCAAATGAAGTAGTGTACTATACGATTTTTCCAGATTTTTGAGTTTATCGTTATTTCTTTATTATATTTTGTTATATAAATATGAGTTTTTAATTTGTATGGTAAACAAATTATAACAGGATCTCCAAATATTTTTTACATAAAAAGAAATAAGGAAAGTTTTCTTTGTAACTTTTAAATTTGTATGCCAGACTAAAACTATATTGAGTAATTAATTAATCTAAAAATTATTTTCCTAGATTTTAAACTTTTAAAGGTCAAACTTGATCAATATCTATAGTTCTAACAACTCAATTCTACTATTTTAAGCCACTCAATAAAAAACTCGTACGATTAAGATGTTTGAACTTTCAAGGCTCTTATACTGATTGGGATAACGTTAATTATCTCAAAAATACAGTACTTATTTATTATTTTAGAAAACTTACACTTCTAGAGACTATTTATTTTACCGTATGAGATTCGACTCTACCATTGTAGAATGTTGATAATTTATGTAGCTGCGGGGTCGTACACGAGAATATAACATTGTACCTACCCTAATAACAAAATTGCATCCTACATTTGAAAACTTCCATTTGTGATCATGATTTAATCTCTTTGGTTGGAGTATGAATCTAATATAAGAAAAAGATGTGAGGTTTTGGAAATAATGAGAATTTACTATTATGGGGGCCAATTGTGCCCTTTATTTATCAAAATGTCCAAACAACCAAAAGTGGCCCTTCTTTTATGGAGGGACCATCCATTGGCATTAAGCAAAAGATTATGTGGCTAATGATTCTATAAGAATTTAAAGGTGGAAAACAAAGGGAAAAGTAGTGAATATTTTCTAATTAAAAGGATAAGGTCTTGTTCAGACCATTTAATTTCTATGCCGTTGATAGTTGCCTATGCTATAGTCTTATTGGCTCTCAATCGCCATCAATATCACAATTTTATCTCTATACTTTTATACGCAATAAAATTATTTTAATATTTTTTTTTCTAAATTTTCAAATAAAATTAATTCAACAGCATAGTTTGACTCGAGATTACTAGAGAAAAATTAAGAAAATCAAAAAAATTAAAATTAAAATTATTAAAACCATCCAATTGGATTAAAGTATACAAAATTTGCCAACCAAAAACGCGTAGCACACTAAGGAAAGTCACCTCTTGAATAGTTAGAAAATGAAACTTTTGCTTTTGTAAATTATCACGGGAAAATTTCCTTTGGGGTCCCCAATATTTATAAATGTGTACTCATGTTCCCAATTTTTTTTACACTTCATGCATAGTATTCTCACGAGCGAAAGATGTCTATTCAGACATGCCCATACAAAATCGTTTTTCTTTAAGAAAATATCTTTATTCCAAAAACCAAACGTCAAATTCACATTACTATAAATATTACTTTAAAAAAAAAAACACACACACACTCACGAGCGCGCGCACACAAAAAATTTACCGTTTCAATTACCTTGTTTGAACCTCATTTTTTCAAAACTTATTTTCAATCACACATTCTGAAATAAAATAATTTTATACGTGAATCGAAATATTTTCTTTATTTTGTAACCACACATTGTTCAAAAATCACTATTCAAGAATACATTTTTTTTTCTCCAATACGTGTTACATGGCTATTTAGCGACTTTTGAGAAGTGCGGATATCTCGCGCACAATGTTGGAAGATTGAGGATGTGAATGTCATGAATAGAAGGTTGGGACCCTCAAAGGAATCTACCCAATTATCAAAGATAACTCTCATCTTAATCATCATTAATGCATAATCAAAATCCTTAATAGGGTCATCATCATCTTCTGCCCATACGGCATACCCCATAGATTACAGACCACTCAAGAAAATTAAAGAAAAATCCTTCCTCTTTCTCTCTCCTGTTAAAAACCCAAAAACGCCGTTACTTAAAACTATTCTCCGTTACGCACGTGACTACAACGGCTCTATAAAGTCCAAAACACACGTGCCACTTACACATGTCCCTTGAGCAATTGAGCCTGGCTCCGGGGCCCGCCGACGGCGAGACTGACGGCCGTCAGCAATCCGCCGATGATGCCAGCAAAGTTGCTCGGCTGCCACGGTGGACCAGACAAGAAATCCTAGTGCTTATACAAGGCAAAAGGGTCGCTGAGAACAGGGTTAGGCGGGGCCGGGCATCCGGGTTGGCGTTCGGGTCGGCTCAGGTCGAACCCAAATGGGCATCTGTTTCATCCTACTGCAAAAGGCATGGGGTAAACCGGGGCCCGGTCCAGTGCCGGAAAAGGTGGAGCAATTTGGCGGGGGACTTCAAGAAGATAAAGGAGTGGGAATTGAAAATAAGGGAGGAAACGGAGTCGTTTTGGGTGATGAGGAATGATTTGAGAAGGGAGAGAAAGTTGCCGGGGTTTTTTGATAGGGAGGTTTATGATATACTTGATGGAGGCGAGGAGGAGGGAGCTAGTGGGCTGGCCTTGGCGCCATCGGCTGTGCCAGTGGGTGATCAGGGTGGTAAAGAAGTGGAGGCAGAGGCTTTGTTCGATAGTGGGCGGAGCGCGGCTGCAGATGATGGGTTATTCTCGGATTTTGAGCAGTCAGGTCAGGAGGAGGTTGGTGAGATTCCCGGACGGGATAAGGAGAATCCGGTGAAAGGTATACCCGCTCCGACTCCCATCTCAGGTAATCAGATGCTACAACTATTAATTTACATACCATCAGAAAACAAGGAATGAATATCATGCAGTATTCTGTGCATGTAAGCATACAGATTTATACAAGGGTGATTTTTGAACGAGAGTTCTTGAATTAGATGAGTTTTGTCATCTATTTCATAATTTTTGAGAAACTGAAACACGATGTGTTTTGTCATTTGCTATCTGGTGAGAGCTGTATGAACAGAAGATTGTTAAATTGTTGAAAATAAGAGACTCCTGTAGAATGTTTCCCATGGTACCATACACGAATGTGTTTTTATGCTATTGCTTGTGCTGAAGTGATTTGTTGGAACAGTTTCCAAATTGACTCTTGCTAGTTATACTATAATATTTAAAATATTGTATCATGGGTTCAAAACCCATTTCCTCTGGCATGGAACTAAAAAGGGCAGGCAAAATTATGTGAGAGAAAGAAACTTTTGTCCCTTACCCAAAACTATCCAGTTGATGGCTAAGTAATCAGTGTGATTTCTTTCAGTAAGACAAGGTATTTTTTGATATACATCTGGTGATTTTTGCAAAAGAACTTTGCATGAGGATGCTTTTCTTGTAATGGTGGTTGCCCTGCACGTTCCCTTGAATGTGAAGTTTTCATTTCTTTTTCTGTAGTTGCAGAGAAACAGCATCAGTCATTTCCTCAAGAACCTCCTGATCAAGGTACTGTCCTTTCCATAAAGATCATACTGGAATAATAATCATTGCAATCTTCTTCTCATGACTTGCAAGTCTTCTGTTAAGTTGGGCATACCGACATTGCCCAGATTTTAAAGAATAGCACTTATAGATTGTGTTGATGCTGTTACCACATTATTCTCCAGCTGAGCTTACTTAGATTTAGTTATGCATCTATCAATGTTATAATCTTTGGTAACATAATGTACACAAAAGAGAACTTAACTCAAGTTCTATTGCAATTGCTCGAGAAAATCTGTTTTCCCCTGCATTTCTTAAACTCATCTGAGTTGCAGTATATCTTGATGGGATTAATCTGCAAAATGAGGATTTTCCCGTTCTAAAATATACCAAGTGTTCCCTGAGCATTATGAGAATATGTTTAAGCATTTCAACAATTACTGCCTCTTAGAGTTTGCGTTAACCAGGGATAATGACATTGATTTATTACCCGGTGGCTAAAATTGGATGCATTTGAAGTACTGCCATAATTAAGTAGGTCACACAATATGGTTTGTGAGACAAATGGGATGTAGCTTACTTGTCTATTTTTTAATTTTCGTAGTAGATCTTAAATCGAAAACAATTTTTTTTATCAAATATCAGTGGTGAAATGGTACAATTGGTCATTGGTTTGTGGGAAGGGATCTTAGCCTGTGTTGATATCATATTATGATCACTTCTTCAAATGGGGATGCTTTTCTTTAATTTATGAATGTCTCTATTGGAAAGATTGTCCATTTCTCATGTTTAGTTGGATAATTGGCAGAAAATTATTGCAGCGTGTCTGAATTCTTAAATTGATATGTTTTAAACCAGTGTGGTGGATTCCTGCATCTTCTTATCTGCTTTTTTAAACACGACTTTGAAAAATGCAATTTTTGTGGGCCTAAATGATAATAATTTGTGCATCTATTGCAGTCTTTCGCCAACTCTAAAATTAATTCATTCCTCAAGGAATTCCAAGTGTTGTAGAATCAGGGAATGTGATGCAAATTAAAAACGCTAAACATCGTTGATTGGAACTTCAAAGTCATAAACTATTACTATTTGAACATGAGAAGACCTCTTTAGGCATTTCTTTGGTTCATATTTAGATTTTCGATTAACATTTGGAGCATGCAGCTGATTATCAATTGATGGGGTTCCATGGGACAACGGAATTCTTTTTCTTGCTTATCAATTTGACGATTGTTTTAGATGTGAAATCGAATAGAATGATGGCCATATTTAACTGCAGTAAGAAACAGAAAAGAAAATACGAATAACATTAGCATGTCCACTTTCTAGTCATTATCAATAATGATAGGCCACAGCTCGTGGTTTGCATCTTCTGATTAATTCACTCCACCCGCCCTCATGAAAAAAATAAATAATCAGCCAGATAAAAAGGCTCAACTATAAGAAACACTTGGAGCTAGCAGTGCTGTCCAAGGGAAAAAGTGGTGTTTGTGTATGTGTACTGAAAATGCATTTATTGCAGGCACAAGTCATGAGAAACAAAATACCTCAGAACCTGAGATTCGGAACCCTGAGGACACAAAGAAGAGGAAGCGAAATGAAACTGGTGAAGAAAGGGAAACAACAAATATGCAACATAGGTTGATTGAAGCCCTGGAAAGAAATGGGAATTTGTTGAGCTCTCAACTTGAAGTTCAAAACTCTCATCTTCAGTTGGACAGGGAGCAACGCAAGGACCACGTCAGTAGCTTAATTACAGTCCTCAACAAACTTGCCGATGCCTTGGGAAGAATTGCCGATAAGCTGTAGCAAAAACGTGGCAGTTTAGGTGTTGTACAATTATTTATCCAAAGGATTTGGTAGTCATTCATAATTGCATTAAAGATGGCTCCACACACATTTTTCCTTTTTTCTTCCTGATCTTATTTTGATGTATAATCTTTTTGACCTTTGTTCTTTCTTTATATAAACAACAGAATTGGAAATCTACCATTGTTTCTTGTTTCTTTACCCTTGATTTAATATATCAATATTTTTTGTTGATTTAGTTGGCATGATCGTACAGATTAATGATTAAATATGTAGGGTATCGTTATCACTTCGCTCAAAAGTTATAGTTCATAGCATAATATAATATGTCCTATATTACTCAGAATTAAACTGGGAGTGTACTCCAAGCCCATTCTCTTGGGCTGGCCTCCGTTTCAAGCATACTCATGCATTTGTTAGGGTGAAAGTTGCTTATACAAGTATGTGATGAACTCGCACTAGTAAGATAATGAAATAAATTTTTGGTAATTTTGGCTTACTTCCAACGCAATTATAATTTTTATGGTTGAATGTAGAACGTGGTTAAAAATAAAAAAAACAGAGTAAAATCAAAATTAAATTCGCTAGAAGTTGGGTGACTAACCATGTTTTTTACTCTATACGTGCATATATCTTATATTGATAACAAACTGGTGCCATTCTCTATAGACAAGCCTACGGTTTTTGGTATGTGGATGCAACCAGACGGAGATAGGGGGGAGGGGGGGACCACCCCCTAACATTGTCCGCTGGTTCACTATTTCTAGTTAATTTGTAATGGATTTTTCAGTTTCGGCCCTACAAAAATTTTGGCTCGCCCCTGCAAAATTTTGAATTTTTTTTTTTCCATTAATAAATATTGACCCAATAACTTACACTTTAACATTCAACCATACAAAAATTTTAGACCTAAACAAAAGATCCAATAATTACATAAATAAATAAATAGCCAAAATTCAGGGTGTCCAAAAGTCCCGAACCGAATCGGATCGAACCGAACCCGAACCGAACCGAACCGAACCGAGCGGTTCTTCATAAATTAAATACCCGAACAGGAACCTGAAACGAGAACCGATGGGTTTGGTTTGGGTTGGGTCTCGGGTCTAGGCCAAGAACCGAATAAGAATCGAAACTAAATAATTTTTTTATTTTTTATATTGAATTAATTAAATTATTTTATTTTTTTCTATACAAATTAGCAAATTAATTAAATAAATTAGATTATTTCATAATTTTAATTTTAAAGCCCAAATCATTTTTAAAATCCATTAACCCATTTTAATTTGAAGCAAATGAATATACTTTATGTAGTTTTGCTGTAATATTAATATCTACTTTTTTGTATTTGTATGCATTGAATTAATCTTATTAGACGGCTAGTTATTTATATGTTTTTGAATTGTGCTACGTTAATTTGTAAAAGTTACGAATGAAATGTTATTAGTTGTATTTATGTAATGTTGCTGAAAATATTAAAAAATTTAATTATGGTACGGAACCGACCCGAACGGAACCGAACCCGAACGGTTCCATAATTATATTTGGACCCGACGGGTCCATTTATTAAATACCTGAAAGTTTTAGGTCGGTTCAGGTCTCTTCAAAACCGAAACGAACCAACCCACGGACAGCCCTAGCCAAAATCCAATCTAAAAGCAAATGACTCATTTATGAATCAATTACCTAAAAGTAACTACAGAACGTGCATTTTCAGCTATGAGTGTCATTAAGATAAGGTTGCGTAATATAATGGAAGATGATTTTTTGTCCAGTACCATGCTTATGTATATAGAGAAGGAGATTGTTGATACTTTTCCATTAGATTCTCTTATTGAC